GTTTTTCTTTCTTTGTTTTGTTTCATTTTAATTTTTTGAGGGGAGCTTACAAGGGCAAATGGGGGTGTAGGAAGGAACAGGGAGATGAGTGGCATTGGGGTGCATGCTGGGAAATTCACAAAGAATCAAAAAAAGTATTTTTCTAAAAAAATGTAAAATGTAAAATGTAAAACTCTCTTGCTTGGTGTGTGTGTGTGTGTGTGTGTGTGTGTGTGTGTGTATGTGTGTCCCCATGTTTCACTCATGGGAAATAAATAAAGGGAAACATGTTCCCTCAAGTTGAAGAAGAAAAAGCTGATCAAAAGTCAATATTCCCCATGCCAGCTGGGTCCCCCACAGAACCCAGCAGACATGGGAGCTATCCTGTTCTACCTGAGCTACATGGTCCATCTGGTCTGCACCTCCACCTGCACCCATGGCAGAGTGACATGTCTGCCTGTTTTTCCAGGACAACTGCTCTAACCTGGGATATGGGAGGCCTGGTCTAAACAGAAACACAAGATGCCTGCTCTAACCAGAGACACCGCTCTGCTTGCTTCCCAGGAGGCTTCCCTAATCCAGGACACACAGCTCTATCTACCTCCTGAAATGGCCTGCTCCAATACAGGAAACCCAGAACAGCTAACACTGGAGACAATCAGGTGGTGAGAGGCAAGAACAAAAACAAAACCAACAGCAGCCCATGCAATAAAGTACTATCAGAACCCAGCGTTCCTCCTCCAGCAAGCCCTGGATAGCTTACCACACCTGGATCTGACCTTAAATCCCATTTTATAAAGATGATAATAAACATTTAAAGATGATATGAATAATTACCTTAAAGAAATACAGGAAACACATTTAAACAAGTAGAAGCACTTAAAGAAGAACAAATAAATCCCTTAAAAAAGTACAGAGAAATACAATCAAACAGGTGAAGGAAATGAAAAACAATTCAAATCTTAAAAACAGAAATAGAAGCAATAAAGAAAACACAAATGGAGGCAACTCAGGTAATGGAAAACCTGGGAAAGAGAACAAGAACTACAGACACAAGCATCACCACCAGAATACAAGACATGAAAGAGAGTCTTAGCCATAGGAGATAACATAAAATACATTGGTAAATCAGTCTGAAAAAAATGCCAAGAGTAAAATGTTCCTTAAAAACATTCAGGAAGTTTGGGACACAATGAAAGAACAAACCTAGGAATAATAGGAATAGAAAAAAAGTGAAGATTCACAGTTCAAAGGGCAGAAATCATCTTCATTAAAATTGTAGGAGGAAATGTCCCTAACCTAAAGAAAGAGGTGATCACAAGTATACAAGAAGCCTACAGCACACCAATTAGATTGGACCAGGAAAGAAAATCTTTCCAACACATAATAATCAAATGTACAGAACAAAGGAAGAATATTAAAAGCTGCAATGGAAAGGGCCATGAAACATATAAAGGTAGACTTATCAGAATTACACCTGACTCCTCGACAGAAACTCTAAAAGTCAGAAGACCCAAAAAAGATGTCTTGCACATCATAAGAGCAGGATGTAAAGTGAATTAGAAATAAAATATAAAATAAAATAAAATAAAAGAAATAAATTGAAGCTATCTCATACTAGCAACTTAACAACACACCTGAAAGCTCTAGGACAAAATGAAAAAAACACACCCAAGAGGAGAAGACAGCAGGAAACAGTCAAACTCAGGGCTGAAATCAATCCCTTAGAAGAAAAGCAAACAAATATGAGAACAATATGAACAATCAAAAACAACAAACAAAACGAGCTGGTTCTTTGAGAAAATGAAGAAGATAAACAAATCCTTAGCCAAATGAATTAAAGTGTACAGAGACAGTATCCAAATAAACAAAATCAGAAATGAAAAAGTCAAACATTGCATCAGAAACAGGAAATTTAAAGCATCATCAGGTTGTACTTCAAAGGCCTATACTTGACAAAATTGAAAACTGTAAATGATATTGATGGATTTCTAGACAGATACTGCTTACCAAAGTGAAATCAACACCCAGGTGTCATGGACGGGAGCAGGCCTCCTCTGAGGCAGATAGAGCTGTGTGATCTGGGTTAGGGCAGGGCTTTTGGGAGTAGGCAGTGCTCTAAGGTAAACTATCTAAACAGTCCCATAATCCCTAAGGAAATAGAAGCAGTTATTAAAAACCTCCCAACAGCAACAACAAAAACAAAACCCAGGGACAGATGGTTTCAGTGCAGAATTTTACCAGATTTTCAAAGAAGAGTTAATACCAACACTTCTCATACTTTTCCAGAAAACGAAAACAAAGGATACACTACCTAATTCATTCTATGAGACCACAGTCACCTTGTTACCTAAACCACACCAACAGCCAACAAAGAAAGAGAACTTTAGACTATTTTTGCTTGTGAATATAGTCACAAAAATACTCAATAAAGCTTCCATTTATACCTCCACCTGCACCTGGGGCAGATCTGAGTGCCTGGCTTGCCCCCACAGCCTGACTGTCTCCCAGGAAGTCTTCCCTAACTAGGAACACAGGTGAGATTCCCTGCCCCAATACCCATGCTAGCTGTGATCCCTACAGAGCCCAGCAGACATGAGATCTATCCTGCTCTGCCTGAGCCCCATCTTCCTTCTGGTCTGCACCTCTCCCTACACCTGGTATAAATCTGTGTGCTTGCCCCCTTACCTCTAGACCCCAAAGCCTGCCTGTCTCCCAGGAGTTCTGCCTAACCAGAGACACAGGTGAGATATCCTGCTCTGCCTGACCTCCATCATCCTTCTGGTATGTACCTCAGGTTGCACCTGTGGCAGAGGAGTGTGACTGCCCCCAATCCCCTACAGGCTTTCCGTCTCCCAGGAGTTCTACCCAAAGAAGGGACACCAGAGGTCTACTCTAATCAGGGACTCAGGATCTCTGCTCTAACTAGGGACAAAGGAGGCCTGCCCAAACCAAAGACAGCACTGCCTATTCTCAGGAGGACTGTTCTAACCCAGGTCACACAGCTCTACCTGTCTCCAAGGAGGCCTGCTCCAGTCTGTGACACCTGGGCCAGTTAACATAGAGATAACCAGAAGGCAAACGACAAGTGCAAGAATATAACCAACACAACAGAAGCCAATGTAATTTGGCACCATCAGAATCCAGTTCTCCTACCACAGCAAGCCCTGGATACCCTAACACACCTGAAGAGCAAGATTCCCATCTCATGAAGAAGATAGAAGCCTTTAAAGAGGATATAAATAACTCCCTTAAAGAAACACAGGAAAACACAGGCAAAGAGGTAGAAGCCCTTAAAGAGGAAACAAATCCCTTAAAGAAACACAGGAATATACAAACAGGTGAAAGACTTGAACAAGATTTTTAGGTTCAACACCTAAAACTGAATACAGAAGCAATAAAAAGATGACAAATGAAGGCAACCCTGTAGATGGAAAACTTAGGAAAGAGATCAGGAACCACAGATGCAAGTATCCCCAACAGTATACAAGAGATGGAAGAGAGAATCTCAAGTGTAAAATAGCTCATCAGCAAATTAATTTAAATCCCATCTCTTCACCAACTGTGGGCATTTGCTGATGGAGCCAACTCCCTTCCTAACCTATAATATGAGAGAACCTCTTGTCTCATCTATCTT